AGAGAATAAAGCCGTAATAAAATTACAATTTATGAGTATCAACCTAAAACGTATAAACAAAGTTCACGTCAAAGACCGTGACAGAACCATAGGCATTTGCATTTATGCGACTCACGTCTCTGTATTCAATTTACAGTTGCAATTGTAAATTTATAGTACTTTGAATATTAATTGGTGGCAATTTATGGATTTAACAAATGAGTCCTCCTTATTTTCATAATTTTATGTCTGGGCTTGATTTGTAGAGTCAGTATTTTAATAAAGCAATAAACACTTTCGCGGCGAAAAATGTCGACGGCGCTATATTTTGTACATAAAACGAAGAGATGGACCTAATTAATATATGATTGAATATTTGACTTACTGTACTTTTGTACAGTGTTTTATTGTTTCTTATTTTGGATGCTGTGTATATATAAATCAATAAATTTAGTTAACCTTTCTATTTTGTTTACTTTCTGTTACTGATCTATTGTTACGTAACTGACATGTAACAGTAGGGTTACACATTACTTACTTACAATTTCGTGAGATGCAGTTTGTTAACTGCTGAACCGAGTTTAGCGAACATGAGTGATTCTTTTTAGTATTTCGAGGAAAAAGCAGGCAGAGATGACGAAGAGTTGACCTTTCGCCATTAGGTCTACGTTCAAAAAGCTCAAAGTACACCTTATCGATCAGAAAATAGTTTTATTCAAGAGCAGCAATTTTTTTCGTGTAAAGGCGGTGCGGGTTTTTTCCCTGATAATTTGGCGCCACACGAACAAAAAGTTTGAGAAACGCTGGAATATTTATTGCAAGATCGTAGACGACCGTTTGTTGAACAAAATTTTGACTTCAACTCTAGTTGAAAATGGCGAATTCTTTACCCATTCATCGGTTTAAATATCCACGGAAACCAGAAAAAAAATCTGAGGTCGGAGGGGATCTAGGTTATCACTATTGCGGAAGATCTGGGTGGATTTACATAAAGCGAGTGCTAGTAATAAACGTCAGCATGGATATCCGTTGACAAGCCAAAGCTTTCACATTATGCGGTGGGAATCGCCACAATTCAACGATTTACTAAAAAAGCCGTAATATCAATACTTTGCTTTTAAACACCACCTCGAAATATTTTAGGTCAAAATTTCGACTTTGGGCTCCAGCTTACGAGCAGTCTTGATTTGAGAGGTTATAAATAGACAATTACATAGAAAAAACGAAGTGGGTTTCAATCTGCCTTTTCTACGTTGATACCCACTGAATGAAAATAAAATAAAACTTGACTTTCCACAAACATTTATTTCATAGTGACAACGAAAATTTTGAATAATCTCACTTCCACCGATAAAATGATTTGATACGAAAGGAACATTCGTGGTATAAAAACGCATTCACATTTATCATCATCCAACATATTTTCATGAATTCATTCATCTTCGAAAAAGCAAAAAATGTTATATCAACCACAAACTTTCTTCGACGCTTCAATTTGAATTGTTTCATACAAACCATTTACGGAGTATACGGCAATTTGCAGTACATACTTTTGTTTTAATACTTCTCCCAGCCTGTTCGTGACTCAAAATACTGCCTCGAGTTGAAAAGAACTATTTAGTGCACAAACAAAAATAAAATTACTACTGTGATATTTTGGTACTCCCGAAGTATGTGAACCAAGATGGCGGACACCGGAATGTAGAATGTGTACCAGGTTGGGATTAGGCCATAATTTTGTTTCAATTTCCCTTATTTTAGTTCTATTACAAGTTCGGGGACGAGCCAAGTGACTCCCGTAGTATTTGTACCTGTAATTATGTCCCAACCCTAACCTGGTACACATACTACGTTCCGGTGTCCGCCATCTTGGTTCACATGCTTCGGGAGTACCGATATTTTTGCTTAAAATTGTCAGTTATGTGCGTAGCATACTTGAAGGAACATCAATAAAACCACACAATATGTAGCAAGGCAACAATAAAAGCAGATTAAGAAATTTTGATATACAATTGAAGGTATGCAAGTTACATTATCGTACATTTGATGCCGGGCCGTTGTTTAGAACCCACATCAGCACTATCGTTTGTTGAAGGACTACACCTCTGCAAGTCGGATTCCCGTTTCATAACATGCGCAATACGACGACTCAGGAGATTCCATTCAGTTTTTTTATTGTCGAGTGGTGTTTTGTCTTCAAGGATGAGAATTTTCATTTGTCTATCGATCGTTGGCGTTTTTCTTTCCAATACTGCGACCCTGTGCCTGCGGATACCGTTTCCAGTGTAGACATTCATAGCGATGTTTGACATTTGTTGAAACTTATCGTTAAGAAGATATCTCTTTGCCTGAAACAACTTCTTTTAATATCTGTCTACAATACACAGCCGCTTTTATATTCTTTTTTGGTTTTATTTCAACTCTAATTGAACCTTCTCGGCACAACATGCTTCACAGAAAGGAGCTTGCATCTTGTGTGGTTAAATCATTAAACAAGGAAAATAATATTTCCTGTTACCTTATTAAACTATGTTATGTAACCATTGGAGAGGCCTATAGACAGAACTTCACGCAGTCAAAAGTATAAAAAAATACGTTTAAAAAACTTGAATTTTGATACTGTTTTATGGCATTCAATATCCTCTCAACTTGTATCGAGTAAGATTCCCCTTGTTTTGACAGTGAACAAAGCATAACGTCACGCTAATAACCGAATTGCGTAAGTCATTTTTGGCGGTTTTGAGTTTTTCATAAAATAGGTATTTATGTAATGCTGCGCACCTGTCTGTTAACTCAGATTTTATTTTAAGAATTCCGAAACCCATAAAAGTAGAGATTTTGTATGATACGCATATTTGTTCAATTGTTTCGTCATAATGAATTATCAGTGTTAATGCAGGACTATTATGACGTTACAAAGGCAAAATAACCTCTGCGAAGGATTTTCGAGTTTTTGTATCTCAGATTCTAGCTTAGCGCTTATAAATTTCAGTTTAAACTATAGTATAGGAAGGTGTGCACTTGTGATATTCACTGTCTGAATCCAATTCACCTTGGTTGGCTTTTATATAAGGATACATTGCTGTTTTATTCTTTATATTTAACTTTAGTCTTATTTCGGTGGATGTGCAGAGCGTGTTTATTTGAAATATATATATATTTTTAAACATAAAAAATAATGTAATTGAAACAGATTAGCTATTTTGGAGATTAGACATCGTATATCCTAAGAATTACATTCATTTTTGGATTGTCTTGTTTTCAGGACTGGTACATATAGTCAAGTTGCAAAATTGCGTATGTCCCCTAGTCATAGACACATTTCTGCCTAAGTCACAGTATTGATTCTCAATGGCATAGCAATATCATTAGGAAGTTTTTTACGTTTTTCTCAAAACTGCTAAAAATGACTTACGCAATTTGGTTATTAGCGTGACGATAAGTTTGGAACATTCGATTGTTTTCATTTTACACTTACAGCATGAAACGTTTCAACGATTTGAAACTAGCTTCCTCTGTATAAAATCCTTTCTCGGCAACTCAGGGAAACCTAATCCGATCTGAATTTCTTTTACCTATAGATATAATATATATCATATATACCAATATTAAAGTTTGTTTATTTTGTAGTTAGTGTGGTTAACCTTATCAAGATGGATTAAACATTTCACTGCTTTTCCCAACAATATAAAGTATATGTACAAGTGATTCTCAAACGCGGTTCTTAGAGCCGCATGCGACTATCAATCATTCTTCTTACGGCTCTCATTGTCCTTAAAAAATTATTCAGTTTCCATGAAAATTTTTCATCGAAAATTATTCAATGTCTCGATATTGAAAGACTATAGTGCAGTAGTTAACATTGATGTCATCGTAGCTGTTAGGTCGATCTCTCGGGCGTTTTAATGTGTTTGGAAAGAGAAATATTTTCAAATTGAAATAGATATCATGATGAAAACATGAAGCTATTTAGCTATTGTTATATATATTCCTGAAGTATACACTCATCACGATTGCGTCTCGCTATTTCAGACTTCGGAATTAAAAGTCAAAGCTAATGTTAAGTTTGGCGTTAAATTGGTTTTCACTCCCAGTTTTGTTGAAGTTGTTATTTTAAAATAAATACTTGAGTTTTGTTTTGTTACTATTCAAATTTTCGTTGTTTTTTGTGCGGCTCCTGACGACTTTGAGGGTTGAAATTTGGATCTGGCACCAAAACAGTGGACTACATTTGTACGTTATTTTTATTGCCGATCGCATGATCTTGTTTACCTACGCCATGTCAATTTTGGCAAGACAATTGGTTCATTGCTACTATCACTTTAGCGTGTAATATGATTCTTCATAGAGACGGGTGGTTATTGGATTTAAAAAATAGTTTCGAAAAACGACTGTGCTAATTGCACGAATATTACCTACAAGTCTATTTTGCGCCAAAGATGAATTCGTGAAACATTTAAATCATTTTCTGATATGGTCATGTATTGGATGTTTCTGAAAATGGAACCTACAAAGAACACCGCTAGTACTTCCTCCGCCATCAAATTCATGCATCTGGAACAAACACCTGGCTAACTAATCCCATGCCTGGCATGGAATGGTAACCGGACGAGAAACTGTGGTTCGCCATATGATTAAGCCGTGGGCTGGCATTGGCTGGGCGAGACTCGAAGAATGAATGTGACGCTGCGACGTCAAAAAAGCTATTATTGTGGCCGTCGTAGCAGGCGTATGAATAATCTTAAAAAGATATTGAGGTCAGTCTACTTAGGAACTTATTAAGATAATATATTTTCATCAAATTGAAACCGAAAGTTCCCTGTACAACTTTTGCCCAAACATATGATTATGTTATATATATACTCTAGTCTAGAATATATGTATTCATAAACCAATAAAATTTCGAAGACAAAACATGGTAAAGATAAGCGAATTGCCAGTCGTTTGTCTCTACCAACGCATGACAAATAGTACATGCTCAATAGCGCTCCCAAGTGACGGCGTAAGGAAAGTGATTAATCAAATCGATGAAATTTCATCACACTTCGCGCTAATTTTGCAAAAATCTGTTCCATCAATTTAAAGTATAATTAAACATCCCTAACAACTGAAATATATACAAGTTAATAACAAAGGCAGTTAGTATCAAAATCCTATAAAATTAAATTTTATATTATTTTGTGTTAAACACAGATTTAAATCTTAATATAGCTTTGATATTTGAGCAAATATTTAGGTGGAATCCTTGTATTGCTTTCATATATGGTCGACAATCATAAACCAGTCGGCTCTTATAAGGAATTTGCCATCTTGTAACATTCTGACATCGCACAACATAAGTAAGTATGTAGATAAAGTCATCATACGGAGTATGAAAAATAGACAGTATGGATATACTTATACACTAAAACAAGCCAACAAACAATAAGTAGACTAAGTAGCATAATATCAGTCCAATTACACTTAAACTAATCATCATTTCATTTTGCATCCTCTTAAAAATCGGACTTCGCTTCATCCATGTTTCTGCCAACTTTCCTCTTTCGTTCTCGTGTGGAAAAGGTGTATCTGGAACGTCTTTGCCCAAAAATTCACAGAGTGGTTCCCAACCTTCTCGCAGATCGCAGATAAGTAAACGATCTTTCGGAGCTCGCTAAACATGTTAGCACATAGAACATAATTATTTTATGATTCTGCTTGTGTATTTGGAACACTGTTTTATTGGTCTGAAGAACAATAATAAATAGAGCCACATCCGGGTTCGAGGTATGATTGTAATGTGTGATCCACGCTACAAGTTGCGAATAATTGTAAAGATAGTTAGAATTTGATAAACAATAGAGCAATGATCAAACAAACATATGGCCAACATGACTGCCGTGAAGGTGTCAAACATCGGAACAAAATATCCTGTTTACAACGATATCCATTTGTCGGTCATATTTATTCGGCACTTAACATTTTTGTATTTGCTATGGAAAATGAAATTGGTAGAATAAGTCGAAATTCAGTAAGAACTATAAGTAAAAAATTTTTTATTTGTAATTAGTAAGAGTCCGAAGTTAAGCGCATTGGTAATATAATACGAGACGAAATTAATGTCTTCTCTTAATTTTTCGGCCTTATTCGTGTTTCCCATTATGCGTTATTGCTTTCGTGTGCTTAAATAATAATATCGCCCTTTACTGACTAATAAGGCTTGCGGGCATAAAACGTCGCATTCGAAATGAAATCCATCTATTTCTCTAAACATCAGTAAGTCCGCAACGCCTTAGCACTGAGTTTTCTCAAAAGATCGTCGGCGGACAAGCGTAATGGAATGCCAGTAGGTCGCGCAATGCCCTCAAAACCTCAAACGTGATTTAAAATATCAAGCTTTGATTAAGTCAAAAAAAAAATATCAAGCTCCGTATCAATCAGAGTGGTATGAAAAACATATGAATGACGTTCCTCTAGCAGTCTACCTACTTCTTTAAGTACCAAAAACTTGAAATTGATTATTTCCTTGGTTGCGGAGAAAAGCGTTTACATTCACAACAAAACCCCAGACATGACAAGAGCAAATTTCTTGCAAAACGATCTATAGGTCCATTGTGTGTCAATAAGCTAATACTAATATATAACCCACCTCCAAAACTGAACTGCAGTGATCACGGTATCTTTTTTTGGTAACAGTGCTGCTGATTCCATTGAAAACATTCCAGGGAAAGAAAGTATGGTTGCCGAACATTATGCGATCTCGGAAATATAGAATATGAAGTTTAGAAAACAACATATGTAACTAAAAAAACATGGTATCTGATATCTGTTTCAATAATTGTACAAAAAATATAAATAGCCTTTCACTTTGTCAGTGCGGCTTAAAATGCCATTTGTCCGGCTTATTTGATGACATGAGCAATAAAGTTGTTATTTTTGAACCCATTTTTGGTGCCACCTTGGTATCGATCTCATACTCATTTTTGTGACTTATTGAATTTTTATGTTTAAAAATTACAAGGTGGTTGTATGATGATTGGAAGAAGTTTATGGTTTTATGGGAACATTTGATTCCAATGTTTTGATTCCAATGTATATTGATCGTCTTTAAAGCACAAGACCAGGGATGTGCAAACTGCGCCCCGCGGACCAAATGCGCCCACAAAGAAAAATTGTGCGGAGAAATTGTACTAGCAGAGAAGTGACAATTTTGAATGGTGTGTCCGCGAAACGAGTTTTTAATTTCTTTAACGTGGTATATGCGAGCGATTCCAATTTGCATCATAAAGCCTATACCGGTGCCTAAGCGCCACTGTCATATGAGCAAAACTAGCTAGCAAAATACGCAATGTTATAAAGACTTGTTTCTCAAAGTCAGTGTGACAATAAATTTGAAAAGCAGTTTTCTTTAGAAATGTATGCGTTTTAACTCACCATTTTTGTAAGGACTCGTAACAATGCCGTAAGCTCAATAACAAAAAGTAACAATTTTTTGTGCCGGCAACTACGGGAAACGCTATCTTACATAAATGTGCCCGCGTTCCGCGGCTTCGCCCAGTTACTTGTATCTGGCCCTCCTGAATTAAAGGTTGCACACCCCTGCGCTAGACAGTAACATACTCACTGACGAGGCCTACATGAGCAAAGAATTTGTATCCTGTGTAGGATAGAACAGAAAGAGATCTGAACAACCAATTTTTGTTGAACATTTTTACTTGATTTTCGACACTCTTCTGCCAGACATCTTCGCTCGTTCGTTGAAGAAATATTATCTTGAAAAGCGTTATCACCGTTATCAAGGAGATGTAAAATCAGATGTGTAATCAGTTCAAATAGATTAAAAAATCAATCAGTGAAAAAGCACGGACACCGTATTCACTACAATCCCACTTCATTATGATAAAAAAGATAGAAGAAATGTTTCAGAAATAAAACATCTCCCTCTTTGCTTGTTTGCAGAAGTTTCATTATCTGGCGCTCCCGAAGTATGTGAACCAAGATGGCGGACACCGGAACGTAGTATGTGTACCAGGTTAGAGTTAGGCCATAATTCCAGGTACAGATACTACGGGAGTCACTTGGCTAGTCCCCGAACTCGTAATAGAACTAAGGATAATTGGAATATATTTATGGCCTAACCCCCATCCTGGTTCACATACTTGAAGGACCCATTATCTTATAAATAGAAAACACAATATCCAAGCTATTGAAGGTAACCTTAGCATCCGGGAACGCTTCCAATATTTCTTCCCAAAATATTACGAACGGGACATCGACTCCAACATCAACATCTTTGTACATTCGGTGGAAATCTTCCTTTGTTCCGCCTTCTTTCAAGATCTAATATAATTGAAGCGGTTATTTGGAAGAACACTGCTACCTCACGAGTCAAAAAACGGACAACATTTTTGTTGGTTTTTTGATGTATTGACAACATGGCGTAGGCTATAACATTAATGCGTGTATATCCAATATCGAGATGGCTAAAAAAGTCAGTTAGTCGCCAGGCCAATACAATCACAATGTATTTTTTGGATTGTTATTTTTATTATATGAAGTAAAAAAGTTAGAGATATAGTTTGTGCGGAAGTTCAACTGTGAACACACGAATACAAATACAAATATACAAATCATAAACCTAAGCACTAGGTAGCATGTATTCCAGCAAAGGAGAAAGAGCTCAGCAGCGACATCAAGCAACACAAATAAAGCATTATTAATGGCGTCATGAATATCATCATAAACGGGATATTTATATTAAGAGGATGTTGTGCTTATATATTTTCAATCGAAGTTATGCAACCTCCCCTTTCACCTTTTCGTGGTTTAATATATCGATGCCTACCTTCTGCCAATCTTTTTCCAGATAATAGAAATGATGTTCCAGATCGTAAACCGAATATCCGAGAATATCAAGAACAGCGGCCATTGTTTTGGTTCCGGTCTTGATGAACCCTGCCACGATCACCTTCATACTGTATGTGCTATTTCGTTTATAAAACTAGATAAAACGATACGCTCCTGAAAACTTCCGATAAAAGCAAAAACATTTTGATTTAAGAAATATAACGACATCATTTTTAAAAATTTATTTCGTCCGATAAATGACGCATATATATATATATAATATATATTGAAACAATAGTGTGTATTCAGTTAGTGCCAAGAATACAGGTTGCGCTTACAATTCAAATTTTAAATCATACTCCCCCAAATTTTCTATTTTAAAACGTGGAGCGGTGTTTCATCGAATCTAACATTTCTGTCGAATTTCTGTTATGTATTTGCGTCATAGCTTGCTGTTTTCCCCACGAACTTTGCGATTATGATGTCAAAATCGCATTCAAGCAATAGCTACTTGCTTTTACCTGCCTGCGTGCTTGTTATTCATTCTAGCGTTTTGAAGTCTCACGATAGGCTGTGTTTTACTGTCTTATTGCTTTGTCTTATATCAACCTATATTATTTTTGTCTACTGGTGATCTGGTTATACCCAAGACATCGCAATTTTAGTTGGCAATATCACATGATTGGTTTAGTTCAAATACCAAATGGTGTCTTGGAAAAATAAAAATAAAAACTATCACCCTCGAACACATGCGGAATTACGGTTCCTTTTCGTCCTGAAAAGTAATAGATCAACGATTCCCAAACCTTTTGTTCAACCCTTCTTCCTCATCTCTGCTCGATTTTTCTTCGAAATGCTGGAAAAATCACCCATATTCGCTAAACTCTGTTCTTTAGATATATGAACTGCAGCTCACGAAATTGCACTAAGTAGTTTATCGTTCTATTGTTACGTAACATTAGAGGCAGACACTACGTAACAGGAAGTAAACGGCGTAAAAAAGGGATTTATTGATTTATATACGCAACATTTAAAATAAGGAACAAAAGAACATTTATAATAAATACACTATCTAAAATATTTTGTCAATTTTCGCGGCGCACCTACCCACTCGTCAAGACGCACTAATGCGCCGCACCCTTTGGGAACCGCTGGTAATAGATGATAAGTATTTTTTATTGTGCGAGATTTCTATCCAAACTCCATGGTGAAATGTACTCGATTTAACTCAATGCGTGAAATAAGAAGAAACATCATCGTCTTTATCACTTTGCCAGACGGCAACATACTACGCTAGGCAATAAAAATCAAATATTATTTCAGATTTATTATGTAAACCTTGGGTGACTTTAAGCAACCGCAATTAAACATTTTATCTGAAAACCATGATTCTAACTAATTGTTAAACTGTTGAATATAATCCCCTGGGGCGTACAGTTTAACGGAATGTAAGCAGAAAATTGAAGCTATTCTACAACAAATAATCTGATTATGATCTTATCGTCTACAAGTCGTATATATAGAATACAACCATATTGAGGTTATAATAAACCTGTTGATAAATGCAAATGGTCAACCTATGAAGTTTGAAAAAGTTTCCTTCATCTGTTCCCGTGGTTTTTAAATTTTGCAAACCTGCCCACATGATTCTGCAAGCTTTTGTCAACAGCATTTCAAAATCAGAGCCGAAACCAGAACTTTACAAAGGTAACTAAACTACACTCATTCCAGCGGATATTTTGCGAGTTGTCTAAACCTGGATGGTTGAATATTCGATATATATATATAGTTATTCTTACATAAATATTAGGATGAGTGATAGAAAGACATCACGAAAAATTTACAGCTGACGACTAGTGTTATATTCAGCATTCCGAAAGTTATGTGATATATATTTACGTAAGGTATGTCTTGTCACCATTCAAAACAATTATATACATGAAAATTATGGGTACTCCCGAAGTATGTGAACTAGGATGGCGGACACCGGAACGTAGTATGTGTACCAGTTGGGCCATATTTTTTTTTCAAATTTTCCTTATTTTAGTTCTATTACGAGTTCGGCGACTAGCCAAGTGACTCCCGTAGTATTTGTACCTGAAATTATGGCCTAACTTAGTACACATACTACGTTCCGGTCTCCACCATCTTGGTTCACATACTTCGGGAGTACCAAATATTGTACCATAGTGATACTACAGCAAGTCCTATGCACAAGTAAAACCAAAATAACATATGATCGGTCCAATCACACCATCATTCCATTTTTTATCTGTCAAAGATCGGGCTTCGTTTCACCAAGGTTTCTGCCAATTTTGCTCGTTACCCTTTCCTAGTCTGTATTGCACGTGATAGGTCTACTGACCATGCGGACTCACCAGCTTTAGCTAAACATTTCTGTATTGTATACTTGAATCAAGTGCACTCATGATTATTCGAAACAGAGAAGCAATTGGCTATATATATATATATATATATACTGGTCATTTCACACATTGATCGGTTACCCGGCTAACCGCCGTTGGTGTTGATGTCCGCATCACAATTCCGTGCGAATTAATTTTTATTCCTATAATTTACATTAGAAATCGAGTGCTACCTTGGATGACGATTTGCGCTCAAAGTTAATCGTGACCGTTAGGCAACTAAAACGGTGAACTGATGAACCGGTTAACTATTCCCAGCCCTAAATGTGCTATCCCATATCCATCCAATATATATTAGTCGTGTGAATTCTGTCTTGAATGCCCTCACTTATTATCGACTTCCTGTTTTTATGACAGTCTTTTCTCTTTTTACTGTCGGTACTTTCTATTCAGTTACAGACTTCATTCTTTACCCGAAACGCATCCGTCTAAGCTCTAATGGTAAATTGTTTTCTTCCCGAAGACATCTTCCGTGGGTAATTTCCATCACAAACCGCGCCTTTCCAGAAAACTAGAATTGACTATATATATATGGTTTCTGTATTTGCTGTGGTACAACTATACGAACATACCTTCTTTCTTTATTATAGTTACTACAATGCTTATTTGTACACACATAAACTACTTAAATTGTACATAAGCGTGAGTATAGGACTCATTGTTAAGGATTCATTAAGGATTGAAAAATTGAAGTAGTTATCATGTAATTTGAGGGAAGAAAACGAAGTTCCAATATAGGCGAAGGAACAAATTTAACAAACAAACCACTTCTTTCTCTACTTTCTTATAACTTTTATTACGCGATCTGAAAATTTATGGTCCGTGACAGCTGTCTGCAATGTACCATGTACATTGTACCAGTTGTGTTTGAATACTAGGAAACAACGGTGTCGGATGATTTACGGTGTTTGCAACATGCCTATTCACGGAATACTCAAGATCAAATAAACGAGCATTCAAACGTTATCGTCATCAAACATTGGGATTGAAGGATATTGGTGTATTGCACATTAAGTTTAATACTGAATGAATATGTTATCTATTATGGAGTTATGCTGTGTCGCTTAAATTAATTTTCAAATATAATACAATAGTATGTCTATGGGGAATGACTGCAATAAGTTACTGTGAAATGGTATAACATATAAACTGCTTTATGCAGTGTTAATATAGTTAAAAGACTTACTCAAACAAATTGCCTGCAACATGGTATTTCTTCTGAAGTAAATGATTAACGAGTCGTAACTGTGTTTATGCACAGCAATATATAGGAAAGTTGTGCTTATATAAAACCGTAGCCTAGACCTCTCTAATATCCCTATTTTTTTGCATTGATCTTTTGTTTTTAGTTCATGCGCGAGAAAGAGATTTTGAGTTGAAAGATGAATTAAAAACATTTTCTTAGATTGAACTATTGTTTATCTCGCTTCAACACATCTTATTTTTATGAATCATTCACGTATTGTTGCAATAGGAGTACAAGAAATAGTGTGCAAATTATCACCACACTATTAGTTAAGCTAAATATCATTTCAGTTTGCATTTTTCTAAACATTGCATTTCTTTCCGTCCCAGTTTTAACCAGTGTTCCTCTTTTATTTTCGTGTGGGAAAGGAGTATCAGGTATCTCTTTCTGCAGGAATTCACACAACGGCTTCCAGCCTCTTTTTAGGTCGCAGATTAGGAAACGATCTTTTGGCGCTCTCTGAAATCATATATTGATGAACGTGTATAAGTTGTTCGTTTATCAAGTCAAATCCCAAGATTAATAAAAAAAGTGTGAATAAAAAATAAATGAATCCTAAAATTAAAATGTCAAAGCTGGAAAATTTTATAGTAAATTAATGGATGTTCAGAGGATGTTACAGATTTAGCAGTCGAGCCCTATCTCTGGACCATGAATCACCAACCCGTTGCCCGCGGGCACCCGTGAAGACCACATGAGTCGCCCGCAGGTCTGTTCCGAAATAACCACAATAACGGCGCTTATCAGTAAGCTACATCAATCAATTTTTGTCCTGCTATTCTTGTACTAATCCCACTTATATGGGAACTGGGAATGGCACTATATTAATTTTTGTAACAATTAACCTGATTTGACCTCAGCAATGTGACGGGTCATTCAATAGTCTCCCAATTATGACATCACACAGATATCACCTTCCATTAATCCGCGTTTTTTCAAGTTCAGTTTAAGTATTTTGTAGCGTCTAAATCTGCCGCAAAACCACGGCGGTATTCCCGAACCATGTCCCGCTATGGCCAAGCCAAAACCCACGGCGACAGACTTTTTAGCTACCACACACCAATGGAGAGCTGCCGTTACTGCCGTAGCAGATTGAAAACCAATGGCAGGTGATATTTTGCTGCTGGTCGGTCGTAAAGACAGGGCTGCCCCTGACGGTGACAAATATTGGGTTTATATTGAGACTATTGTTTGGTTCAACCGTTCAACCTATCTTTGTGAATCAACATTTTTTCATATTTACTTCACCAGAAACAAACACGGAACACGCCTTTCTGATGATCTGCAAGTCTCGCTCAGTGTTACAGTGTCAAGAAACGCGCCTCTGTAACATTTGATTGTACAACTGTTATATTAATTAGGTCCATTTCATCATAGGCTTGTGCAGAGTGTTTGTAAATAACCCAGGTACATTTTAGTTTTCTAAGATATTATAGTAGTGATCACTTTAAATTCAATTTGAAAACACTCAGTTTTAAAATGCAACGCCAGTGTCATTGATAGAAATTTATTTAAACGTTGTGATAATCGCTTGATTTTCTGAAGAATCTCAGAGTTTATCAGTGTCTCTACTTGACTAAATACCAGTAGTTGTTGATAATTTAGGCTTAATCAACTAAACTTTTTTAGAAGTGTACATTGAACTGGTAGCCCTCGACTTAATCTTTACCCAGAAAGTAGCCCTCGGCTTCGAAAAGGTTGGTGACCCCTGCTCTGGACACTCTGCTTGGTCGTATTTAATAAATTTGATAATTTATAAATATAGAAGGTTTGGACAGCCATCGTAATAATATGTCAAAGTAAAAACTATTCACTTGCCGTCAAAACAGAACAGCAATGATCCCGATATCTTTTTCTGGCAACAGTGGGACTTATAGCATTACAAAAATTCCATGGCAGAACACTATGGTTGCCATAAACAACTCGATCTAAAGAAAATTATAATTAAATATAATGAGCACAAATATCCAACTGTAGAATATGCTCTATTATGCTGATACATGGAATGCATAGTTTCACGGATTCACGCTAATTAAAAAGGTGTAATTTGAAAACAGGAAAGCAATGCTCAAATATAGGGACATGAAAGCCAAAACGAAGTAATATCAAATCTTTTACAGTACCGGTAGTCTGACCACTAAATTGCTGTAATACGATGGCAAAACGTATACACGGTGAACAATTTTTAATTTTGATTACACAAAACTTTAAAGTGAAAAACGAATCCCATAGAGCGCACCGAATTTATTGAAATAAATAAAAGTGATGGCATTCTAGCAACAACAACAACAACCTTTGACCACTGAAAATTCAAGGCAATTGATTCAGTAGTTCAGGAGAAAAACGATGATTCACAACAACAAGAAAAAGACTAACAACAACAACATAATAACAAAACGATCCATAGCCCCACCTCGTGTTTAACAAGGCTATTGGCAGGGAGACACCATTGCACTGGCATGTAAATCTTTATGGAGTTCGACCTGTTTGCCGGGAAAATTTCTGGACAATAAATGGTACTCATGTAGTATATTAATCAAGATGGCGGTCACCGGAACGTAGTATGTGTACCAGGTTGGGGTTAAGCCATAATTTTATTCCAATTTTCCTTATTTTAGTTCTATTACGAGTTCGGGGACTAGCCAAGTGACTCCCGTAGTATTTGTACCTGAAATTATGGTCTAACCCTGACCTGGTACACACACATACAACGACCCGGTGTCCGCCATCTTGGTTCGCATACTACAGGAGTATCAAATTTTTCCGAGATAACAAAATTAAAGTAATGTAAAGGAAACAGACGTAGAAATTGAATGAACTTACTGATAACCACAAGATAATTAAAAAATTTGTATCCAGTGTAAGAAAAGATTGGAAGCAATCGGAATTTCCAATCTTTATTAAACTTTTTCAACTGATTTATAGCACTTTCTTCCCATTCATCCTCACTTGATCGCTGGAGAAAAATTATCTGAATCATAACAAGAGATCATCTTTACTTTTCTTTGACCTATCATAATTGACACAGTCTGCAATCATACAAATAAAATGTCGATATAATTGAAAAAAAAAACTTTTTCTAATGTAAAATTAGTTACTGGGAATCAGCATAATACTTTTGTTTGCTTGCATTCCAATCATAAATTCTTATAGGTACAACGTTCCCCAACCCAGGAGTGGTTCCTCTCCAGGGAGCTTATGCTTTGGCTGTGTATTTGCTGTAGTACCACTAATATTCTTAATACTATACTACTTGAATTGTACAAAAGCAGAAGATCGTCTTGTGCAGATTGGACATATAAAGTAGTTTTTTCTGTTCCATAGAGATGAAAGAATAAGGAGTTCAAAAATAGACGAAGGAAGGAATTTAACGACAAAGGTTGCGAACCACTTCTATAGATCATTCAGTATCCAGATATCTGCAATTTATTATTTGCAATTTATTGCCAGCAATTTAATAAAATGACCCATGTTCGACGTACTTTGGCTTCAGGAAACGCTTCTGAAATTTCTTCCCAAAACATAGAAAATGGAATTCCAGCAGCCGCGTCAACATTTTTATACATGCGATAGAAATCTTCTGTTCTTCCGCCTTCGTTCAATATCTATGTGAAAATTAAAACAGATTTGATTTGAGCGTGTATATAACGTCTAACATTCTCAATTCAGACTTATTCAAACATGTATTTGCTCAAGGCAAGGGTACAAAAACTAACGCAGAAGTGACACCTATAGGATAGGATTTACATAGTTATCATGAGAAAAGGAAAGTCAATAAGACAGCTTAATCATATATCGAACCGGCCTCATAATTATCCCCGTTGGATTGGAACCTGCGAACCCCCGCCGGGTAATCAGAGGTACGGTGGCAAGCGTATTCCTAACGTTTAGCACGATGTGTCCCCCCCCCCCCAATATAGTACGATATTTTCTGCAAATAGGTTTAAGACAAATGGCCAATAAATATTTACGACTGACTTTTAACCACTCTTTCTCCAAATGTATAAAATGATCCTCCCAGTGATAGACAGAATATCCAAGAATTCCAAGAGCAGTCGCCATAGTGTTTGTACCAGTTTTCGAGAAACCCGCAACAATTACTTTCATTTTATTCGGTAGTTGCTTTTTTAATTCTGTTCGTTGCATTGAAATCACATTGAACATCTTACATAAATTTAATCTACAAACAGGCCCGAATGTACCATTGGGCAAGAGAGGCTGAAGCCTGTGGCTTCTACATTCAATTTTAACCCGTTATTAAATTTTAAAAGCTTGTTCTAGAAGACGTCATTGTTGTGAAGAGAAGCCTCAACAATCGCTCAGCCTAGGGCCCCTCGTCGTCTTAATCCGACGCCTAATGAACGCTACAGTTAAAATCTAACCATACTAGTATTATTTCTAGTACACACAAGTAAATTTCTTGTTTTGCTTTCTTGTCGTTTTCCTATGACCTATATAAACATTTGACGACAAATATTGACATAATTGACTATACAACATAGATAACACACATAACGGAGGAGCCAATTAGTAAAAGCAAAATATAATATTAAATCTGAATCCTAAATATGAGTGGATTCGTCTCGAATCCGAGTCCAAAAACAATTTGCTGCAACACTTTCTCATTGCTCGAAACGGTTTCATTGCAAGTTACGTCCACTTTTTCTGCAACAGCGATCGTTAAGGTTCGGGATAAATAAACAATCGGAAAACGCTTGAATTTGGCGAAAAAGCAATACTAAGGTCTGGTCATAGGCGAACATTTACAACATCCGGGATTGGAATGCCTCAAAGTATAATAAGAGAGCTATGCTCAAATATATGGACACGGAGGGCAAAACTAAATATTTTATCATCAATTCCCCGAAAACCATATGCGGTAACTTACCAGTAGTCGTACATGTAGGCCTGATATTTGATTGCGGAACTGCTTGAAATAAGCTAAAAACAGTGTTCCCGTGAGTAATAATGAATACAGTGTCCAACAATAGTATCGAATTTATGACTCTCCGGAACCCGCGTACTTTGTTTTATAACATTAAAATTTAGGTTATGTGTATCCTCTTGACGAAAATCAAACAAAATAATCACGCAACTTAAAAATAAGTAACAATCTTAAAAAGAAGGGAAACTTTAATTTGTCTAACTAGCGCCGATCATATGTTGCTCATAGGCGGCCGAGTTGGTCAGTCAAAGAGCAAAATTTTGGGTTGGGTTGGAGACATGTTGGAAATTGTAGCATATGCATTTGATAACATCCACCATTGTTATACGGCTATAATTGTCATCATGGCTTACAAATCTTGTTGAAAATGTTGTGAAATGCCTGAAATTTGGGACGACCGCAATAGTAAAACGCCGGAACGTATGCCTAAATGTTTTGTACAAAGTTAATGAATAACTGAATGCCTTGATAAGAATTGAATCTACTCGCTCACGCTTACAATGCGCAACTGAATAAATTGTACCACCGTTCGTTTTTCTGTTGTTCTTAAATGACTTGTAAAAATGGTATTTCGTATTGAATTTCAGTGTAAACTCGTAAAAAAGCCAGTGATTAGTTCCGAATTGAATCACGAATATATAACGTATGGTTCGATGTCGCAGCTGCAGTTTAGCCTTATCCATAATCTCAGTCAATCAGGAAAGCACATGACCAGGCTAATCACGTGATTTTGTTACGTACGAAGTGAAGTATGTTGCGAAAATCGTTTTTCTTTGCGGTTAATAGACCAAACAATTTCATCTATGGTTGAGGCCGCTACAAAACTTTCAATTTTTCAAATTTCTCATAGAATCGGATATTTCACCCAGAACGTGGGGATACTTTTATGAAATCTGAGAACACTTAATTCTGTCATGGAAACTAATTTCGTTCCAACAAATTTTTTGGTCAATTGCCTTCACCGTGCCGGCACCGAGGCTTGAACTTCGCCTACAAATATTAAAGCATAGCTTTCTTATATGTAAACACAGAGTAATGAATTGGAATAGCATTAATTGTAATATTTAAAAGGACAGGGCTAACAAAAAATAAGTATGTAATAAACTTGTAATAACTAATAAGATGTGCATCACTGTTATATTAATTGTTTCTCTCCCGCTGTCCGTGAGTCGCTGACTGATAATACCTAAATCGTCATGAAACGGTACTATAGACCAGGGCTACTCAACTATTTTTACCGAAGCTCAGCATACAAAACTTCAAGAATATTTGGTTCCGGACTTTCCAGAAATTATATTTCGGCATCAAACACTCAATTCCTCGGCCGACTAATGATAATTAGCTAATCAAGATTGTTTGTTATGGCGTTATAGTTCTTTTCATATATATTTTTGAATCTCTAAAAGTGATTTTATAAAGAAAATTTTAAAAGGGGGGCTACTGATTCAAAATGAAGATTTATGCGCGGTCCGAATCAAATACCCGAAAGGTCCGGATTCGGACCGCGGTCCGCCAGTTGAGTAGCCCTGCTATAGACTACTAGGATTCCCTCGCAAAAGGGTTGACTTCTGGTCTGGTTTGTTGGTGCATGCCCAGATTATGCCTAAAATAGAAACTTTTGTACTATCACTAATTTTCTGATCTATTTTATTTATTTATTCTGTTTATCTTAGGGTGTAGACAATAGATGAGATAGGCAAGATTGTTTTATTGCTTCACCTCTCGAAACCATAACTTGTGATATACAAAATCAAAGAAATCAGATGAGCAAATTAGTGATGTGGCAATAACAGGATGGCATCTACCGCAATATGTAAATATTTTGAATAATCAAATTGAAATGAACCTATGTTTATGCTTGTTATCTTTTCCGGTGACGGTTTTAGTAAAATACGTAATCATATCTATTAGTTTAAAACGTTCACAGAATTAATGAAGGTATGAGGAAAAATTAATTGGGGAAAGGTATAAAAATCCTCCCAATAGAAGCGTAGTTATATAATTTCTTATATAAAGACGAACACAGTGCATAGATGAAATAATTTGCGCATTATATAAAATTGGATTACATCGAAAACATGGGCTTAGGTAACACTTATTATTTCGGGTATAGATTCACCAAATTGCTTGGACTTGGCGGTGTGCAATTTTAGACGATTCGAGTTTACGATGAGTTAGTTATACAACGTACATGATATGAAATTCCTATTTGGGTAACTGACGCTATTGGAGTCGATCAGAGTCAATGATTTCCCTACACCTCCTCCATAGGGGGCAAACCTTTTTAAACTTTCCCCTTCCCATAATTCTGAGCTGTTACACCACCTTTAATTCCGAACTTAAATATAAGTACCCCCCCCCCCCCCCCCCCGCACACACACACACAGAGTATATATATATTAAATCAACCAAAATTGTAGAGTCAAGGACCGGCTATTTCTAATGGTTGAGCATTTCACCACAAACCAAAATTGTTTTTCGGGGCATCGGAAATGGACCGCTGTAACAACGAATAACTGACAATATACTTTTGTCTATGACAAAATGCTTTTTTTTTGCAATTGTCGTGGTTATTGACGTATTCCATACTGGAAAGAATCATTGGAAATTACTTTAGGCAGTTGAGTTTAGAATCTATTGTTACAAAGTTACCAAAAAACATTTTGAGGGTTTTAGACGATTTCAGCGTGTTTTTGAATTGTCACTCAAATGAAATAGATTAATCTTTATCCGCTTCATTTAATCCTTAAATGATTTCTTTTTCAGTATTATTTAGTAATTAAAGAGAAAAACTAAAATATTTTACCAAAGATGAAGGTGATCGTTGCAGGATTTGTTAAAACAGGAACCAAAACAATGGCTGCTGTTCTTGACACTCTTGGATATACAGTTTATGATTGGGAACATCATTTGTATCACCTCGGAGATGAATGGATTAAGGTAATTATGACTTGAGTTCAAGCCCATCTTGAGAGAAAATTAATAATATACGCTGAATATGATACGCTGAAAGTCTTTTCAACGAAGGCAAGAAATTGGCCCTTTTCCTGAGACCGCCTAGTTTATTTTATTCACTCCGAACTCGGAATCGGCGTTGTTTTCCGGCATTCTAATATCGCAACATTCCCTTGTCATTCAAATAACTCATATTTCAGAATCCTATTTGGGGCAGTTGCTCAGAAACACACAATAATAATATTTATCTATTGCAGATTTTGCAGCAAGGAGGCACAAAAGAGGATTTTCGTCGAATGTACGAAAACGTCGATGTTGGAGTTGATATTCCATTTTCCGTATTTTGGGAAGAAATCTCAGAAGCGTTTCCTGATGCCAAAGTATGAAAAGTACTTCTTTCTGTATTCTACAACAGGACTACTCGACTGGCGGACCGCGGTCCGAATTCGGACCTTTCGACCATAAAATTTGGACCTCGTTTGCTCGACTGCAATAAGTTACTGTGAAATGGTATAACATATAAACTGCTTTATGCAGGGTTAATATAGTTAAAAGACTTACTCAAACAAATTGCCTGCAACATGGTATTTCTTCTGAAGTCAATGATTAACGAGTCGTAACTGTGTTTATGCACAGCAATATATCGGAAAGTTGTGCTTATATAAAACCGTAACCTAGACCTCTCTAATATCCATATTTTTTGCATTGATCTTTTGTTTTTAGTTCATGCGTGGGACAGAGATTTTGAGTTGAAAGATGAATTAAAAACATTTTCATAGATAACTATTGTTTGTCTCGCCTCAACACATCTTATTTTTATGAATCATCCACGTATTATTGCAATGAGCGTACAAGAAATTGTGTGCAAACTATCGCTGCAATAATAGTTAAGCTAAATATCATTTCAGTTTGCATTTTTCTAAACATTGCATTTCTTTCCGTCCCAGTTTTAACCAGTTTTCCTCTTTTATTTTCGTGTGGAAAAGGAGTATCAGGTATCTCTTTCTGCAGGAATTCACACAACGGCTTCCAGCCTCTTTTTAGGTCGCAGATTAGCAAACGATCTTTTGGCGCTCTCTGAAATCATATATTGATGAACGTGTATAAGTTGTTCGTTTATTAAGTCAAATCCCAAGATTAATAAGAAAGTGTGAAAAATAAATAAATGAATTCTAAAATTAAAATGTCAAAGCTGGAAAATTTTATAGTAAATCAATGGATGTTCAGTGGATGTTACAGATTTAGCAGTCGAGCTCTATCTCTGGACACTCTGCTTGGTCGTATTTAATAAATTTGATAACTTATAAATATAGACGGTTTGGACAGCCATCGGAATAATAAGCCAAAGTAAAAACTATCAGAGTAAAATAATCACTTGCCGTCAAGACAGAACAGCAATG